CGTCAAATAATTTTCTTAAATTCTGTCACGAGAATGTCACCGGCTTATCGGTATGCTATGCTACATACTCTATGCACGTTCTTTTTTCTGTTCCAGGTGAGTCCTTAGCGAATGCATCGTTTGGTCAGAGCAATTCACGTTCGTTGAAGAGAAGACTTCACCGTGCGAGAGGGAAGCAGGGACGAGCGCGTTGTAAATAATCCAGTGGCGCCAGTGGAGCTGCGTTAGGAAGTACATACATCTAACTGTAAGGGTTGTAGCGTAGAAGGGTCTGGCACGATACTCCTGGTGTTATTGGGTCCAACTAAAAATGGAGATATAAGGTGGGGAGGAGGGTGGGGGAGCTGAGAGGTCGACATAGGAAATGTCATTGAAGACAGTGCGAAGACTCGTTCGTCCTTTCGAGCTGCCGAATGTTGGAATAGGCCAAAGTACTAATCGTCTTGAATTTGTGGAGTGAAGCGGAGGAAGCAGGAGTGGAGGTCCATAGAGAGGGAAAAGGAGAAGCAGATGCTGATGCTGATGCTGATGCTGATGCTGAAGCTGGAGCTGGCTTACGGCCTTACGTGTATTTATTGCTGTAATTCGGGCCTCCCGTGCTAAGCCAAGTATTTATGTCTTAACCCAGATAGGTAGCTCGTAGTAGTAACTACTAGGTGGGAAGGTAGGTGGTTGGCGAAGGGTGACCCACCCCTTCATTCAGCCAAGAGGCATCTTCCATAACCCTCCACCTCCATGCTTGCTTCCGCTTCGTCTACTCGGCCTTCCTCGCTCCTTCTGGTCCTTCTTCTTCCCCACCATCCCCTGGGATCACCTCACATTCTAATTGATCTCGCTGTAATTGCAATTAACCCAAAAGTAATTATAATTCGAGGCCCAGAATCGAATTAGGGACGGAGCCAACGAGAATTCTTTAACACCTACCCTTGCGCCCTAACCAACATTTTGTCCGGCGGTTTTTCAATTATTTCTCGGCTGACCGCCTTCCTGAATCACCACCTAACGATGCCCTCCGTTTAGGGCGTTCTCGTGGGCTTGTACCTTTTCTTGGATTAACGTTTGAGGGCTCAATCTATTTCTTGGACGAGGAAGGCTTGAATAGTAGGAAGTTTACCTGGTATTGAGAGCGACTCTTGAAAATTCTCAAGAATCGAGTGAACTCGGGATTGCGACTAAAAGCTCTAATTGGCCCTCGAAGAGGAAGCAGTATAAGTGCAATCCTATCAAAGAGGATGTATAGTTCCTGGCAGTGGTTCAAGAACAAGATTGTTCTGAAGGATTCAAGGATTCAAGGATTCAAGGATTCAAGGATTCTAGGGATAATCACATTCCGAGGTAAACGGTGGTAGTCGCAGGCAAGGCTGCGAGTAAGATATTAATGGGTATCGAATAAGGTCAAATCGGATGAAATCGAAGTGAGTCGGACCACGATTGCTAACGAGTTCTTGGCCCTGTATTAGGTAGTAGAAGTCAAGGAGGAGGCGTCATGACGTCACGCCGCGTGCCGCTACGAGATTTCATCGATAAATCCAAACAGGAAGTAAATCGCCAAGGGTATGTCCCAGGGTTGACTATTTCAGGGGTTTCAGGACTTCGTCGAGCGAGCGGATGGCTGCTCCTGGAAATTATGCATTACGCGCAAGTTCCTCTTCCGGCCGGTACACACACGTACCTGGTTAAGTCATCTTGACTTCCGGTACAAGGTATAGCCGGGTCGAGCTGGCGGCCACGAGGCCACTGGATATTGAAGAGACTTGGACCAAGTTTCCCTTGCCTCGGCAGGGGCACTAACCTTCTACGACTAATACTTGTTGGGGCACGTCTAACTTAACCTAACCTAACCCAATTTAACCCTAGATTAGACCAACAGACCATATACTCGTTTAGCCACAGCCACGTTATGATGCTCCGGAAGATTCTCTTTCCCTCAGAACACTAGGAAACTCTGCGTCTGCTGGATACGCTACCCATCCTCGATCGGCTCCCGCCACTCTTTCTGAAATCTTTGCTGAATACGTTTTGAATTCCTAGAACTTATCAGTCTTTCAAGTGAGGACTACGCTCTTTTCGAATGGAATCTGTAAAGGCTTAAGTTAGATTTCTTTTTGGACGTTGCCTTTTCAAATTTGCACCGAGGCAAGCCGATTTCTTTCGCCTTCCGCTGTGTCGTTCCTAAAACCCCCCAGTACTTAATGGTCGGGTATGTGAGGGAGGCGTGTATAATGTCTCTTTGATGGCCAGGATCGGCAGCAGGATCGTGCCTTGTGTACTTAAGGAATCGACTCCAAATATAATTACCGGTTTCGTCCGTTTACTCCCGGCAAACACACCCTCGGCTAATATGGTCAAATACGCCCTCGTCCCACAGTACGACTACCTTCTCTACCACCACCTACTGCTACTACTACTGCTACTGCTACTGCTGCTGCTACTGCTACTACTACTACGACTACTACGACTACGACTACCATTACTACTACTTCTACTATGATCACTACTACTACTACTACTACTACAAAAATAGTATTATGCTGTTGTCAGTTTTAGCAGTCTTAGGCGATGACCAGCGTCCCTCTACCCTCGCAATTATACACGGACGGGTTTCCAGAGCCGCAACCACCCCTTGGTATTCGCAATCGGGCTTCCTTCGATCCTTACGCCCACTAACACCTCCGGGCCTTTATTGGGACATTATTTCGAACTAGTCAGCTCCACTCAAGCGTGACCTTCCTTCCCTTGAACATTCCTTCCTTCGTCCCTTGTCTCTAGGTCCATCATCCACCCTTCCATCCTCGAATTCACTCTAGTTTACTCATCCTTCCAGTCTTTTCACCTTTGCAATCGCCTTCTGATCTATGTGAATATGCCCGGATCCCATGGACGGAGTTATTTCGACCGCTCTAAAGAATCTTCTTTCGTATCCTGAGATGTGTAGAACAAAAACAACGTAGGATAATAATGGAACGTTGATGGGATCAATGGGATTGGAAACTTAGCTTTATGGTACTCGATCGGAGGGAGAGGTTGATTTTAGTGAAGAAAATTAAAAAAATTCCACTTATGATAAATTGATAACGTTCCATATTTCTCGACAATTAGAATGTGGTGTTACTTTTGGGTGAAATTTACTCGCGGCTTTTATTGGATTATTCCACGAGACTCATTGTCAGAGTTGGTCCTTAAACTACGCTCCCTGCATAACCAGACCGCAGCCGCGCCGCGCGCTTGACTTAAGCACAATTTAATATGGTTTAAGTTGTCGAGGTTAGGACGGAAACAAGTTACCGCGCCTAATCAAGCTTCACTTTAACCCGACCACCGTAGCGACCTCCCAAGCTCTCGGCAACCGGAACTACTTGTCGAACTAATAATCGTCGAGGATTTCCGAAGTGATGAAACTTCACTCGTGCCAACCAGTCGGCCCGTTTCATCCCGACCGTTTCTAGTTCACGTCAAATGGCTAATTGTGCCAGAAGGTTCTGTTTCTCTCTTGTAAACAGTCACGTGATTACGGAATGTCAGTTTAATCAATAAAATCGAGTAAATATCGAATGAGGCGGTGTGCTGTAATTAATCGAGTATAAGGTGCCGAGCCCAAAATACCTTAAGCCATATTTCCCTTTCTTTGTTGATACTTTCAACTCAGCATCTTATTTGATCTCCTCTGATGGAGAAGCAAAAATTAAACTCTGTGTTGACCAAAGAAAAAGAGGTTGGAAGAGTCAGCTGAATTTTCTCACATAAAAGGAACGAGGATCGGAATTTGATATTGCAAGTGGTAAAATAAAGTAGAAAAATTCCATTCGCTCGGGCTCGGAGGACTACAGGTATTGGCCCAACGGTGGAGTCGAGGAGAACGAAAGCCCAGAAAGATAAAGGGCGATTGAGAAAAAGGAGGAACAGAAAAAGAGGAAAAAGGAGATGCAGCAGTAACACCATGTACCAGAAGAAGAGGAAGAAGAAGAAGAAGAAGAAGAAGAAGAAGAGGAAGAGGAAGAGGAAGAGGAAGAGGAAGAGGAAGAGGAAGAAGCAGAAGAAGAAGGCAAGGAAGCCCTAAAGGATGAATAGCGAAAAGCAGACAAGATACTCAATATGGTGACCTCCGATCCTCGCGAAAACACCTCCAAGTGTTTTGAGACCTTCTGAATGAGACTTCCATCGCGTCAGCATCTCCTCCGTCCGTACGGACTATAACTGCTTCTCAACTCCCCATCGGAGCTCCTTTCAATTCGAACCCCTGTCCAGGACCATCGCCATGCCGCGACCACCTATCAGACGACAGGCATTCCCGAGTTACTTTCGGGATCTTCCCTCTCAGACATATTACAATTTCCCGAAAGCTCTATTACCCAGAACTTCTCCCATCATTCTTCCAGTCTTCGAAGATCTTTATTTGCCGGGATTCATGAATTCCTCTCTTGTGCACATCTCATTCTTTCTCGAGGATCTACTATTGCTACGTTATCTTACTTGGTGCGGTTTCTGACTTTGTGTTCCGTTGCGTGGGATTACGACGCGAATTCCTCTCGGAAAAGAAAATAGATTAGAAAAAGCGAGTACGAAACATGAAAGACGGCAAACGATGAGGGAAACTCTAGTTGAAGAACTTGTTTGGTCGCCGGTCGCCGGTCGCCGGTCGCCGGTCGCCGGTCGCCGGTCCGTCCTCCGTCCGTTCGGGAACCGTCGGGCGAAATTAAAAACATTTACTTTCCAAGGAAAAAGAGGAAGCCGAGAACGTTCTCATAAGCCCGAACATATTTCGCACTAACAAAAAATCGTATCCCCTCGCACATCGGAGTTTCTTGGAAAGAAGGATATGAGGGCTGCTATCCTTCACGCTAGAGATAAGGAAGGTTTAGGATAAGATCTCTCACGGAACACCATAGCTGCCTACGAGCTGTGGTTAGCTAGACACATTCATACATATAGACACATAAAAGTATATTGTTTGTATATCATGTATATTTTCTGGGCAGCTATAGTATATGTAAATGTAATAGGTGGAAAAAAAAAACGAATGAAGGAAGGAAGGAAGGAAGGAAGGAAGGAAAGAGAGGCAGCAGGTAGAACTTGAGCCGTTCTTTCCTTAATTCTTCTAGGCGTTTTACATCGCTGGGTCTCGTGAGTCTTCTGAGTTTGCGAATGACTGCCGAATGGACGCGCCAGAGCATCAAGAGAAAACGGCATGGCTGTAGGTGAATCGTAGCGTCACGAGGCTGACTATTAAATCTTCAAAGAGATGAGAGACGAAGTTCAAGAGTTACGGAGAAATTGGGAATCTTGATTTCCAACTGACGCCGCCCCCATGTAAGCAGATTAAGCGACTGTGTAATTGAATGGGCACTCGCAATGCCGAGCGCTAATTAAGGAGGTGTCTGCCGATTAATTGATTATCCGAAAGCATCGATATACCCATAATAACGAGGATGCTCGAATTGGGATAGTGGCTCTGCGAGAGCTTACCCTCTAAGTCCGTTATCAGCGGGAGCCAGCCAACAGTTCGCCGCTATCCCGCCGAAGGTTAACTGTTGATTATTAGCGGTCCCGCGAACCTTTGATTAAAATCAGTCGACCCGCACCAGTTTCCGAGATTGTTACGTTTACTGGGAATCAATCTGTATGTGCTGCAAGCTTCCGGCCTTTTTTTAAATTGGTTTTGATCTCTTATTTCTACAATTCTTCGTATATACATGTAGACGGCTGTTGGAATAGAAATGGGCCGTCTGCCTGACTTCTGATTGACCTATCGATGATCCTTCCTTCTTTACCTCTCTACTCTTCTTGCGAAAGCTCTTATTATTTCTACATCGTCAAATATCATATTCAAATGTCTCGAATCCCTTCGTTCTAGATTTCTGAGGAATCTCCTTGTTCTTTCCAAGATTTACTGTTCTTGGCATCTTTTAATAAACGCATGTATGCCAGTTCTCGGGTAAAAGTACTTGGTATGCACTGAGCGTCATTAACCCCTTGCAGTATTTTCATAAGTCTGACTCCTGATGAAAATTTTCGGCCAAACTTGAATATCAAGAGTCAGCAGACTCGTTATCTAATTTCATGTAAAACGTGAGTATCACGAGTCTGACTCGTAATCGACATTTCGGGCCAACCATAAATATCACGAGTCGAACTCGTGGTCTTAATCTCGGAGCAAGTATGAGTGTCTCGAATGGGATTCTTTGTCCCAATGCAGAGCACGTGCTACCTAGGAGACATTTTCATGGTCCAGTTTCGACACTTGATCTCCGCCGCTTCGGCTCCTTTCCAGACCATTCGGGCGCATCACTTGGGCACGGCTTCTTCCGAGTTAAATCGTAGTGCAAGGGGTTAATGGCGTCCAGCTTGTGGACGCAGTGAGATGCGTGATAAGAGAGAAGAGTGGAGGCGGTGCAGGAAGCACTGCGGTGCGAGCGAGACCCCAAAGCGTCGCTCGGTGCGTCCTTTTCGCACAGCACGAGTCGGAGGAAAACGGCGATACGGTCCCTGCTTGTGAGTCGCATTCAGGAGATAGGTGAAGTATCTTTTTCTCCGCTCGTTGCAACCTCTCTTTTCTCTCTCTCTCTCTCTCTCTCTCTCTCTCTCTCTAGCGCATTAATCCTAGCTAGCCTGGGCAACAGCATAGCAACCTGGACCATAGCTACTGCTACTACTGGTCTGATGGGACTTCATTCGCATTTTAATTAATTTATATGTTTCGCGATCGCGGCAGGCACGCACGTCTTACGTCTTATAATTTTCGAAGATACAGCACGTAGGACAAACCATGAGTTAAAATGAGAGAAAATGGCTTCATGAGTAGGAAGTAAGGTAGTACATGTATAAGTATATGTATATATTGGTATATAGGAGGGTAGTTGTTAATGCGTATGCAGATGGAAGATTGGTCCGATGCAACATGGTGCGCCGCTTACATAGTTTCAAGAGACTTACGTGGGTCTTGATAAATATTAGAATAACAATTTGAATTCCACCTCCGTTTAACCTCCTAAGTTAAGGTTGACCCTTCGAGAAACAACGTTCATGGCTTTTTCTCGCGCCCCTCCATATGACCCTTCTCTCTCGCTCTTTCCCTCCACGAACCCTATAGGGATGTCAGAGAATTTATACAATAATCATCTTATGTACTTAGTCTAGTTCTTAGCATATTGCTACTAGCATCCCCACCCATCCATTCCCTCAATCCGTTCTCCATTCAAGAAAAGGCTCCTCCACAGCTTAAGGGTCACGCGGCTCTCCAGCCCCTCTGCGTGCTCATGGCTGTTGCTTCAGCCCTACTAGCTGTGCCAGCAGTGGATCAAGCTGAAGCGGGGAAGCCACGCGGAAGATTTTTAATACCGATCCCATCCCTCGGTACTTACTTGCTCGGACTTACTAATCTCCCGGGAATATTTATCGATTAAAGTCTCTCGAGGAAAATATTCGGGTGTTCCTACGGACAATTCGGAAAACCTGAATACTTCACGGGGAGAATTTTTAATTAAAAATTACCGTGAAAATCACGGTAAACGTGAGACATCGTATCGTTTCTACAGGTTATAATATCTCTTTATTTTCGAACAATTCATCGAAACACAGTAAAATTTAAGGCTCAGCACATTCGTCTTTACTGAAGTACAATGACAAAAGTTTTGTTACTTGAAGGCATAGCTAGTCGAACTTAAATGTATATAACTCGTTCAATGTATAATCTCATAGAAAGAAGTCAAATTATCACATCCACTATAGGCAATTTTAGCGTGGCAGCGCGCATCATTCGCTTCTCTTCGGAAGTACGTTTGTGGAATCTTTTCAGTGAGATATTTTCATCGCCGACTTTTTCGATTTTCTCTTTGACCTCTGTTGGAGTATATTTTTTCAATGTGCATTATTAGTCAACATGATTATCTGTAAATCTATGAAAGATATAAATACTTTAAGAAGAACGAAATAATAAATACTTAAAAAACATCTTAATCATTTAGGTGGTAGATTAAAATATTATCACGCTATACGTGTAGTCTTTCCACGAGTAAAATAGAATTTTTCTTTGGCAGATCCCAAATACAATACGAAATGAAGTTCCAGCTTCGAATGATAGCATCGAAATGCAACCATTAAGAACTACCGTGAAGCACTTTGAATAATTTCAGGTCTAGAACCCTACTGCGTATATTGTGAAATTTGCTTGAGCTGCAATTAAGAATATTCTGCTCCGTCGGTAGAGAGTTATGTAATCCCAAAATGTCCCGGGGTTCCTGTTTTCCATGGGAATTCTCGCCCTCAATTTCACGCGAAAATTATTGAAAAATTCTTCTCGCACTTGAATGTTTTTATTTGTCGTTTCTCCCTACGGGACAATCTCTAATTTGTATCTTTAAATTTCTGAATTGATCGGTTTGATCCTTAAAGCTTCAGGGTCTTCGGAGCTTCAGATTCTCAGACGTTCAATGACACTGCTATCAAAACTATTTCTTTTAAAGTTTAAACGGACTGGCATCATGCACCATGCAACTTTCAAAAAGTGTAAAGTAAGGTTCCCGGTTAGAGACACGTAATTCGCCAACAGAGTGCGAGATCTCTGCGTTATACATGACGCGAGTATGAGAGTAGGAGAGTATATGCACAGAGGAACAAATCAACATTCTCATGTGATATGTAAGGGTAGGCTATGTCTAGGGTATGTCTAGAGTACACCCTTAATTCGGGAAACGCCAGCGGCATGTGGCGGCGTATTATTATGAAAGTTGACGAACAATCTGGCATTCGGTGTCGAGAGGGCGGCTAAGTGATATCGTGATAGGGGCGAGACGGATGAGAGACACAGCAATATGCGAATGAGCACGGGGCTTGTTCTCTCCGTCCTCGTTGCTGTTGCCGATGTCACTGATATTGCTGTTTTCCTATAGAGACACGAGGATGATACTCCGGCTTGGACGTTCTCTATCAGAAGTGCTATATCCACGGTAGAGCCAGACGCAGACACTCGCGTCACTGTTGTGTATTCAAAGGACCCTCACTCGATTCTCATATACACCTGCAGCTTTTGCCATCTTCGAAAATAGCTGTCGCCATAAGTGAGGATTCGTTGTACTCTGGAGATTTGACAAGGCTGACAAGAACTCAACATAGGGGCCGGGTATTAGCAAATTACCAGACTTCAAGATATATTATGTACTGTACGACGAAAAGCCAATGCGCCATAGTAAACTGCCAAATGCAGAGAATGGAAAGAAGATACGTAGCAGGACGATTGTGGCGGCGGTGTGAACACAAATGCGTTGATAGGCTGACTCGTGGGGAAATGTCAAGTTGACAATTATTTTCGTAGTTTGTGGCGCGGCGTGTGGGCGGGTGGGCGTGTGGGCGGGTGGGTGTGTGGTGTGCTTGGAGGTGCACAACTGCACAGGCTTGCAAAGATGCGGAATAGTGTCACGTAAGGGGTTGCAAGTGAAGGTGGGTGAAGGTGGGTGAAGGTGGGTGAAGGTGGGTGAAGGAGAGTGCACGAGCGCATAGGAGTTAAGGGCAGGTGTAGGTAGACTCAGGCGCAGCGAGTGGTTGTACTCGTGGTGGAAGGGTGGAAGGGTGGAAGGGACGCATTCGCGACAAAGGCTAATTGCAAAGCGCGAGAGGACCGCGTAGCAAACGGAACAAGCCTATATTACACCGGAACACACAACGCGAACATCGATTCGATCCAAGTTGAGGTTAGATTTCACCCCGAACTGTGCATTTCCCATATCCTGGTCCACCGAGCCTCACAAACCCACCCGGTCCATGATACGGTACACGCGCAAAGCATCCCATACAATGGAGTGCAGCAAACCTCGCCGAAGCCCACATCACACGGCTCGAATCAGAAGCGATTTCACCATGAGTCTCTCGCCATCCCTGAACCATCGCAGAGCTGCTGCTCCCCTCGTCCTCTGGAACGTGGAGCCCATCATCCAGTATCCGACACCCAAACCTCCAAACCTACAAACCTCATCAGCTCATCACTCTCATCACTCTCATCAGGGATCATGAACTCGTCGTGAAATTACGGCAACTAACGTCCTTCCACCGTCATTATTTTCATTTGTCATTCGCATTCGCCTGTTTGCACCATCCTGAGATTGCTGGGTGGAAAAATGAAAAGGTTCGTGCTTGGAAGCTGGTAGG